CTTCCTTCCTTCCTTTCCTTCCCTTCCTTACCCTGCCTTTTGTTCTTAGCTTTTCTTTTCTTCCTTCTTTCCCATTCCTTTTTCTTTCCTAACTTCTTTCCTCTTTCTTTCCTTCCTTCTTTTCTTTTTTCTTCCTTCCTTCCCTTCCTTCCTTCCTTTCTTCCCTCCCCAATAGCACTTAGACTTATATACTGCTTCATAGTGCTTTACAGCCCTCTCTAAGCATTTTACAATGTCATCATATTGCTCCCCAAAACAATGTGAATCCTCATTTTCCTTCCTTCCTTTTCTTCCTTACCTGCCTTTTGTTCTTACCTTTTCCTTTCTTCCTTCTTTCCCATTCCTTTTTCTTTCCTAAGTTCTTTCCTCTTTCTTTCCTTCTTTCCTTTTCCTTCCTTCCTTCCCATTCCTTTTTTCCTAACTTCTTTCCTCTTTTTCTTTTTTCCTCCTTCTCTTTTCTTTCTTCCCTTCCCTTCCTACCTTCCCTTCTTTATTGCCTTCTTTCTTTCTTTCTTTCTTTCTTTCTTTCTTTCTTTCTTTCTTTCTTTCTTTCTTTCTTTCTTTCTTCTCTCTCTCTTTCTCTCTCTCTCACTTCTCTCTCACTTCTCTCTCTCTTTTCTTTCTTTCTTTCTTTCTTTCTTTCTTTCTTTCTTTCCTTTTTCTTCCCTTTTTTGCAAATACTTTCATCCATCTCTCTCTTTCCCCCACTCTCTGTGTTCTCTCCCCTCCCCGCTCCAATTTTTTCCAAAGAGAATTGTATACTTTGAAATCCTGCTACTCAGCAAGGTTAGTGGCTCAGCCCTGAAAGAGCCACTTTGGGACTTCTTTCCATGAATGGGTGATGGGTGCTGAAGCTACGACTGTTGGCACAGTCCACTGGGAATGTATGAGTGCCAAGCCTACTAAAGTGAATGGGGGGCTCCTAAAACCCCTCATGGCTTTTATTCCTTGTGGGAATGGTGCTGAAGGATCACCCGTGACCGGGGCTCTAAATTGGCGGCATCACAGAGACCCTCCAAGGAACAGCTTGCCTCCAGAAATCGTGGGTGCTCCATCACTGGAGATTTTAAAGAAGAGACTAGACAGTCACTTGTCTGAGATGGTATAGGTTCTCCTGCTTGAGCAGGGGGTTGGACTAGAAGACCTCCAAGGTCCCTTCCAGCTCTGTTCTATTCTATTCTATTCTATTCTATTCTATTCTATTCTATTCTATTCTATTCTATTCTATTCTATTCTACTATTCCAGTGGTGGTGAACCTATGGCACGGGTGCCAGAGGCGGCACTCAGAGCCCTCTCTGTGGGCACGGGCACTGTCACCCCAGTCCTAGGCCTTCAGCTGGGTTTTATAAAACCTTTTCGCTTTAGGCCTCCGCCGCCATGTGCAAAAAAAAAAAAAGGTTCAATCAATCAGTCAATTTCAACTTCTCGTGGGGAAAAAAAAATCTTGCAAAGTTGGAATTGATTGATTGAACTTTTTAGTCCCACCCAGTCTGCTGTTACCACTGCAGTCACGCCCAGCCAATGAGCCACGCCCAGCCAATGGGCCACACCCACCCGGTACCCGACGATGCATAAGTGGGTTTTGGGTTGCAGTTTGGGCACTCGGTCTCTAAAAGGTTCGTCATCACTCGGATAGTATTTCTCCATCTTAGCAACTTTTAAGATATGTGGACTTCAACTCCCAGAATTCCCCAGCCAGCATGCTGGCTGGGGAATTCTGGGAGTTGAAGTCCCCATATCTTAAAAGTTGCCAAGGTCGAGAAACATTGCTGTAGGGGTTACTGCTGGGTGGGTCCTCTCTCCAAAACTCAAATTAGCACCAACAATACCCAGGAGAAAGAGATTAAAAAGTCCGGCATTTTGGACCTGAACTCATCGTGGGAAAAGGACCGAGGGAATTTTTTTTTAAGGCAATTACCTTCTTCACAACTCTCTCCCTTGTAGCCCGGATTGCAGATGCAGGTTCCCATGATGCACGTCCCGTGGCTGTTGCAAGACACGTCCACGCACTGATTGGTCGGGACGTCGCACTCGGCTCCTTTCCATCCACTGTGACACAAACACCTCCCTTTCATGTACTGTCCGTTCCCACTGCACAACACTGGGCAAGAGGCTAAGGAGACAAAAGACAACACAAAAGAGGGCCGTCAGAAACACAATCAACACTGGCCAATCGCTTGACGCGATCGCCGATCCGGTGCAGGCGGTCCTCGACTTACAACAGTTCATTTAGTGACTGTTCAAAGTTACGCAACAGCCCTGGAAAATGCGAACTTAGGACCGTTTTGCACACTTAACGATCGTTGGGGATCACACGATCAAAATGCAGACGCTTGGCCTCCGACTCATATTTATGACGGTCGCAGCGATCCCCTTTTGCGGCCTTCTGACCAGCAAAGTCAGTGAGGAAGCCAGATTTGCTTAACGACCGGTGTTGCTAACTCAACAACTGCAGGGATTCTCTTAACAACGGTGGGAATCAAGTTTGTAAAACGGGGCAAAATTTACTTAACCAATGTCTCACTGAACGACAGAAATCTTGCCCTCCATTGTGGTCGTAAGACGAGGACTACCTGTATTTATAAAGATTTTTTTTTTTTTAAGAATTGTTCTCCCCCCTTGGAGAAGATGGATAGGTTATATTGAGCGTAAATATGGGACCAAAAAATATCATTTGGTTTTTGAGTGAATTTTAGAGTATTATTGTTGTATAAAGGTTAGAATAGTTTATTTAGTACTATTTTTAATTATTAAAGTGATGTTATTATTATTTTTAATAACTGTATATTTGTTTAAAAGAGAGTTAACGGAGGTTATAGATATGTTATTTTAATAGTTGATTAATGTTAGTTAGAGTATGATTATTTTATTGTGAACCCTGTGATTGGCACTGGGAAGTGAGGGGGGAGGGAGGGGGGAGTGGAAGGGTGGGTTGGGGAAGGGGGGGATTTATATTGTAAAATTTTATAAAATTTTCAATTAAAAAAAATTGTTCTCCCTTTTTTTCTTTACTTTCTCCCCCCCCTTTTAATTCCCCCCCCGCTCTTTTTCTTTTCTTTCTTGATGATGCACATTTAGGTTTGCAACAAGGGGGGCAAAGCTTACTGAACAAATGTCTCTCTTAGCAGCAGAAATTTTGAGCTCTATTACGGTTGTAACTCAAGGACTACCTGTAAAATGGGGCCAAGTTCACTGAACATCCATCTTGGTTAGCAATGGGAACTCTGGGCTTGATCTCTGCCTAGCGGCCATTCATGCTTTGTCTATGGAGGTTCTCCGTCCTCCAGGACATGGTTGACTCAAAGGTGCTTTTTCAAGAGGCAACTGGACTTTCTTGTTTTTCCTTTGAAAACATTTCGCTTCTCCTCCAAGAAGCTTCTTCAGGTTCTGACTGAATGTTGGGGAATGGAAGGATTTATACTCCTTGCAGACAGCTGGTCATTTGCCTTCTTTTAGAGCAGGGGTGTCAAACTCAATTTCATTGAGGGCCGCATCAGCATTGCGGTTGCCCTTGGGGGGCCGGGTGGGTGTGGCCTACTGGGTGGGTGTGGACGGAGTGGGTGTGTGTGGACGGAGTAGGTGTGGCCTATTGGGTGGGCATGGCCAGCTTTACATCGTTCGCGTCAAGGGTGCCTGTGGGGGCCTGGGCAGGAGTGGGACAGATCTGAGGGTTTCTGGCAGAAGGGGGTGGGACCGGGGCAAGCGCCAAGGCATGGTCCACTGAAGGAGCCTCACTGCCTGCTGAAACCCCTCTGCCGGAGCCAATCAAGCCGGATATGTGAAGTAGGCCAGGGCCATTTGCTGGCCACTTCCAGGCGATGGTGCATTTCTTCATTCCTCACAAAGGGTGACACCTCCCCAGCATGCACCCAGGGGGAGAGGCAGACACTAAGACTGAATGCGTTTCAGCATAGATGGCCACCACAATATTGTACATTGGCTCCCGGCCGGCCTGGGCCAGGGCCAAGACAGCGGGGGCCGTTCCCTCACTGTTTCCAGGATGGCTTCGCGGGCCACTTGAAACCACTCCGTGGGCCGCATCCGACCCCTGGGCCTTGTGTTTGACATGTCTGTTGTAGAGAGTCATTGAGGCCACCTGGAGGTTTATCTGTGTCCTCAGGGTCACCTGAGTAGTGCAAATGAGTGTGGAGCCTCTTTGGAACTGCTGAAAGGACTGTGTCATGGAGTTGTGCTTTCTGCAGGATGTTTCAGCAGTTCCAAGAGGGCTCCACGCCCATGTGCATCCCTCGGGTGACCCTGAGGACAAAGACAAGCCTCCAAGTGGCCTCAACGACTCTCTAAAAGAATGATCAAATGACCAGCTGTCTGCAAGGAATATAAATCCTTCCGTTCCCCACCATCCAGTCAGAGCTTGAAGAAGCTTTTTGGATGTCTATGGAGATTCTCCATCATCCAGGTCATGGTTGCCCCAAAGGTGCTTTTTCAAGAGGCAACTGGACTTTCTTGTTTTTCTTTGAAGACGTTTTGCTTCTCATCCCAAGAAGCTTCTTCAGCTCTGACTGGATGGTGAGGAATGGAAGGATTTATACTCCTTGCAGACAGCTGGTCATTTGCATTCTTTTAGAGGGTCGTTGAGGCCACCTGGCGGTTTATCTGTCCCCTCAGGGTCACCTGAGTAGGTGTGCAAACGGGGGTAGAGCCTTCTTGGGACTGCTGAAAGGAATGTGTTATATAGATAAATGCAGATAAACCTCCAGGTGGCCTCAACGACTCTCTAAAAGGATGCAAATGACCAGCTGTCTGCAAGGAGTATAAATCCTCCCATTTTCCCACCATCCAGTCAGAACTGAAGAAGCTTCTTGGGACGAGAAGCGAAACGTCTTCAAAAGAAAAACCAGGAAGTCCAGTTGCCTCTTGAAAAAACACCTTTGGGACTGTCAGGCTTTGTTTTGGGGAGACCCCAGGAAAAGATAAGAGCGAAGGGCAGAGGTTGCCTATAATACTGCTGACTGCCCTCCTTTCTACACTGCAGGGGCCAGACTGTCCACAAAGGAAGGATAACCCCCTCAGGCTTAAGCCAAGGGTAGGAGATGTGTAGAGGCCACCTTATGAATGGAGGGGGTCCAAGGATCAAAGATCTCCAGCACGGCTATTGTCAGAAGAGGGTTTTTCTTCAAAAGGCAGTGCTTTTCATGGGTCCATGGGTTATTAAACCCCCCTTTGCTCAGAGGCGATAGCCCAAAAGAAGGGGAAGAGGAAATGGAGGAGAAACGGGGACCGTGATGCTTGATGAAGAGCAAGCATTTAGAAAGCTTAAATGGAGAATGTGAGATTTTCAAATCCGTTGCAGGATGTTCAAGCGAATATGTGAAAAAGATGTTGAGACTCTAGAATGAGTGCAGAGAAGAGCAACAAAGAGGATCAGGGGACTGGAGGCTAAAACATATAAGGAATTGGGTAGGTCTAGTTTAATGAAGAGAAGGACGAGGGGGGACATGATAGCAGTCTTCCAATATCTCAGGGGCTGCCCCAAAGAAGAGGGAGTCAAGCTATTCTCCAAAGCGCCTGAAGGCAGGACAAGAAGCAACGGATGGAAACTAATCAAAGAGAGAAGCAACCTAGAACTAAGGAGAAACTTCCTGACAGTTAGAACAATTAACCAGTGGAACAACCTGCCTCCAGAAGCTGTGAATGCTCCAACACTGGAAGTTTTTAAGAACAGACTGGACAGCCATCTGTCTGAAATGGTGTAGGGTTTTCTACCTGAGCAGGGGGTTGGACTAGGTGACCTCCAAGGTTCCCTTCCAACTTTATTATTATTATATACCATTTCAGACAAACGGCTGTCCAGTCTCTTCTTAAAAACTTCCAGTGATGGAGCATTCACCGCTTCTGGAGGCAGGTTGTTCCACTGGTTAATTGTTCTCACTGTCAGGAAATTCCTCCTTCGTTTCCAAGCTTAGTTTCAGCTCGGAAACCTCTCCCTTTCCCCTCAGCATGGCTGGCTCAGGAATTCTGGGAGTTGAAGTCCACGAGTCATGAAGGGGCCAAAGTTTTCCCCATGCTGGCTCAGGAATTCTGGGAGTTGAAGTCCACGCGTCATAAAAGAGCCAAGGTTGCTTACCCCCTGTTCTATGCCAATAGTGATAGTTAACCCAAAAATTAAGTTTACCTCGTCCACAATCAGGGCCCAAGAATCCGAGGAAACAATGGCAGGTTCCAGAAACGCAGTCACCGTTTCCATAACAGTTGCTGGGACAGTTCTCCACTGATTCTGCAGAAAGTAGAAAACAGAAAAAGTGAAGGTAATGTAGAAAAGGGGAAAGTTAAACATCAAAGCTCATTCACTGAGGGAACAGAGGCACTGGCAATCGTCCTTCTCACGTTGGCCCCCCCCTTGACTGGGTTACTGTAACTCACTCTACACGGGATTGCCCTGGAAGACTACACAGAAACATCAGCTGGTACAAACCTGGTACAAATTCTGAGTACTAAAGGAAGAAGGCCCTGGTTTTGTCAAGTGCTGGGAGATTCACTGATTGCCAGTTTGCTTCTAGACCAGGGGTCTTCAAACTTGGCCCTTTTATGACTTGTGGGCTTCAACTCCCAGAATTCCTCAGCCAGGCATGCTGGCTCAGGAATTCTGGGAGTTGAAGTCCACGAGTCATAAAAGGGCCAAGTTTGAAGACCCCTACTCTAGACTGTGGGAGGAGGAACGGCAGAAACTGGGGCCGGAGTTAAAAGAGGGATCAGCCTAGAATTCCTACATAGTCACAAGCAGAACTAAGTCCAATCCCCCATGAATTCTGTGGACCATTATCTAAGTCCAAGCAGGTGCTAATTGTGAGTTGAGAAGATTTTTGTGCATAGGCTGTTTAGCAATAAATCAGGTTTATTGAACTTTCACCTGTGAATTTCATCTTCCACGCCTGACAGTTACAAAATGGTAGTAACGTATAAAATCTTACAGAGTTTTGGACCGGAGTATCTGCAAAATTACTTGCTCCCAAGTAGAATCTGCCCTGGCCAGATTTGGGCTTAGAATGCCTTATTCAAGAGGGTATTTGGATGTTTGAATATTTGAATGATCTTGGTGGTTCCTTGATTAGGTTGTTGTTTACTGTTTGATTGTTTCTCTGAGTCAGTTGATCA